AGGTGTATCTTACAGATTGGGTCAACGTCAGGTGTGGGTTTCGAGGGGGATACTACATGTCACTATAGGGAAGCATCTGTATTAAAGAGGCTCTTTCCGCAACTCACATGTCCCACCTGCAGCTGAGTGACAGTGGCAGAATTTCTTCCGCCTTTAAATACCTAAAACCCGGTGGTAAAGCAGAAAACCACTGTTCCTCCATGACTCTGGTGCTTGAGCTCAGGGCTAACAACTCAGAAACAGCCACACACAGTAGATTGCTGCCGTCGTACTGTAGGAGTGGACTAACCGAGATGCTGACATCACCCACACAATGTTTGCCTTTAAAGTTAATTAGAATGAACTCAAATAGGCTCAATGGGTGAGAATTTGAAGCGAAATTGGTGGATGGCAAAGGCCGAGCAACCAAAGAGCTCAGGTAAGCTAATGTCGAATTGTTAATGAGACATTTCTACGTTCAATTCAATTCAATTCAACGTATTTGTGTATAGCCCTAAATCATAAAGCAGTCATCTCTGAGGAATTAGCAAAGTTGTCAATTTTCTAACAACAAATCAGACAATCAAACAGTTCTAACACAAGAAATACGATAATTAGGCCCGAGCCCCGAACTTGTCATGCATGACCCCCTGAACATGAATGACAAGTTGTTAAATTTTGCCCAAAAATCAGACATGGTGAAACATTTGATATTTTGGTGTTTATTTTTATGGGACTCAAACAATTCCAGAACAGCGCCACCTACAACAGCCAATTTAATACCCCTGTTCCGACTGAGATTCGAGCCCAGGACCTTCTTGCTGAGAAGCTCGAGTGCTAACCACTCTGCTACCGTGCCGCCCAAACTGATTTATAGGCGCCCCTTTGTCTCGCCGTCTCTCTAAATGTACAGGCTGATCCAGACTTAGATCTAATTTACATCAACCACACGGATCTGAACCTTGTTACAGCTCACACGCCAGAACAGATCCAAAGTCAAACGCACAAACTGAGGCTGTCGCTTTACCCTGAATGATCTACACCAGGACGGACTGGTTCTCCCCAGGTCCCACTGAGGTTTTCCTTCCAACCAAACAGGAACACGCCAGACTGCACTCATTTCCTCAGGTCTTCAAGTTGAGCCTGGACCTGGGTCCATGAGGAGACTGGTCCTGCCTTGTTAGACTGAGGCCTCAGCCACATCTCCTTCTGAACCAGCCGGACCTCCCTGATGTACAACATGGTCTGGACTGAGACACAGACTCGTGTTGAGAGGCCATTTTGTGTAGAATCTACAACATCTGCAGGTGTTTGTGTTGCCCACCTCAAAGCTCCAGAAGCACAAACAGCCGAACAAACTCTCCAGTACATTCTGCTGATTTGCATCTTCTTAAAGCTTATTGTGGACGACCCAAACCCAACCTGGCAACCCTCATGGCGTTCCATTTGCTGACAATCTTAGCAAATGGAACGCTCAAATGTAAGTTATTTATTGAACCAGGAACGACCCACTGAGACTTCAGCATCTCTTTTTCAGGGAAGTCCTGGCCCCTCAGAGAGGGGGGCTTTTGTCCATGTTTTTAGCTGTAGGAGAAACTTGAGCACCCAGAGGAAACCGGAGCACACGGAGGAAACCTACGCATGCACTTGAAGAACGTGAAAGCTCTTCTCAGAAAAGCCCTGTTTCGAGCAGGATTCGAACCTAGGACTTTCCTGAGAAACCGTGTCGCCTGTAGTGATGTACTTAAATTCTTTTACACCTGGAGTTTGCAGCTGAGTCCTTGCGTTGAGTTTTCTCTTGTAATTCTTCAGTTCGCTGTTTCTCCTCTTGAACGGCCTGGTCTTTCTGGAAGAACGTTTGGACCAGCGTTCTAACGTTCTCACCGGGCCCCCTGTTTTGCTTTATCTCCCCTTGAACGGCCTGGTCTGTCTGGGAGAACATTTGGACCAGCGTCCTAATGTTCTCACCGAGCTCCCTGCGCTCCTGTCTATAGTGTGTGCAATCTGGCTGATTTTCAAACACACTTGTATTGCTAACTGTTGCCTCTACCTCTGTCTCTGTCTCGCTCTCTACCTTGCCCTCTACCTCTATCTCTACCTCAGTCTCCATCTCTGTCTCGCTCTCTATCTCGCTTTCTATCTCTGCCTCTAAATGGGCTGGCTGATTTAGTGGTACCTGTGGCCCAGTCTCTGTCTGATTATCAGACGTCATGAGTCCATCACCCTCCATCAGAGTCTCGAGCTGACGCTCTTTCTTTGGTAGAGGCTTCTGTCGTTGGGCCTCCTTCCACTGCTCCACTTGCTCCCGCGCCAAATCCAATGAACGCCTCCTACTGGTCTCTACTGCCTCTAGCTGATCTTTTACCTCAGTTACTTCCTGCTGTAGAGCCAAGATCTGTTCATCTCTCAATCTCAGTTCTATCTCACTCTCGCCTTCTGTCTCGCTCTCCATCTGTATTACTACTGACGGACACGGTAGCTTTGACATCTGGAGCTGCAGCTGTCGGTGGGCTTGCTCCCACCTTGCCGATCGCTTGTTTGCCAATCCCAATGAATGCCTCAAACTGGTCTCAACTGCCTCTAACTGATCTTTGACCTCAGTTATTTCCTGCTGCAGAGCCAAGATCTGTTTATCTCTAAGCTTCAATTCTTCTTGAGCTCGGTCAAGCTGCTCTTGAAGACTTTCCCACTCGGCTCTTTTCACTCTGGCCTCTTCTGTCTCGCTTTCTGTGTCGCTTTCTGTGTTGCTTTCTGTGTCGCTTTCTGTCTCGCTTTCTGTCTCGCTTTCTGTCCCGCTATCTGTCTCGCTTTCTGTCTCGCTTTCTGTCTCGCTTTCTGTCTCGCTCTTGGAAGTCCAAGGAAGGAGAACCCTCAATTTACCAAAGATAGATTCAGATCCCTCTGTCTCGCTCTCTGTCTCGCTCTCTGTCTCGATTTCTGTATCGCTCTCTGCCTCGCTCACTCTCTTGCTCACTCTCTCTCTCCCTCTCGCTCTCTCCCTCTTGTTTTCTGTCTTATTCTCCGTCTCTGAAGCCCATAGACCGAAAAAGCTCCAGTTACTTAAGAAAGATTTAAAGCGAGACAGATAGCTCCCTGTCTCGTTCTCTGTCTCGTCCTCTGTATTGTCCCCCATCTCTATTACTACATAATCCAGCGATATCTGACAATTGTTCTTTCCGCATGTTTGTGAATTACAAGCATGTACACACGGATTACCACTCATTCTGTTAGTATTTGTGTGCTAAGTTAAATGCTAACAGGTGAAGATGAGAAGTAAAAGTAAGTCTTTGCCTTATCTGTGAAAAAATATGTATATCTTACTGCTATCTCTTGCTGCTATGACCTCATTGGAAAATGGCTCCGAAATGGCTCAAAATTACCAAAGGGATTTTTGATCAGTGAAACGTTGTTTGAGCAGCGGAGCGGCAAAATGTCACCTTTTTTTGGCCGTTTTTGACAATATTAAATATGTTCCCGTTTGCACATACAAAGTCTGATTTGCAAAAAACGTTAATACATTGTTCAACTCTAGGGTGTAGATTGATTGAATGTGAAATAAATGAACTTGGCTTATTAGCGCTCCCTACAGATGGTGTCAAATCTTATAGTATGGGAGGGGTTTGAGGTCAAAATTGTCGTAGAGCCATGAAACTCAGTACACATGTTCCTCAAGTCAAGACATGAAAACAAAATTATTATTGCCACGCCCCCTGACAAACAGGAAGCCCATACATTTTCTTGCAAAATGAAAAAATGAAGCAATAATTTTCACACATGTCGGTTGGAAAGCTGCTGGTCCTCGGCCGTTTCACCAATTTGCCTCAAAATTGGTCCACATCATCTCAACACATGTACCTTCAAAAATGACCTCAGGGATTTTTGATCAGTGAAACGTTGTTCGAGCAGCAGAGCGGCAAACAGTGGATTTTTTTTGCCATTTTTGCCATCAGCAAATTTGCTCCCGTTTGTACAAACAAAGTCTAATTTGCACACTTGAATCCATTGTTCAACTCCAGGGTTTAGGTCAGGTGAAAGTGAAATATTTTAAATTGGCCCATTAGCGCCCCCTACAGACTGAGGCAAAATTTTACATGGGGAGCCAAACCAACTCAACTGATCATATTCATTACAATTTCACAAACATTCTTCTATGGCTACGGGATAAACACATGGCACAGCGGCGCCACCTCCGATGCGCAGTGCGGCATGGTTCGGTGCGGTGCAGTGCAGTGTAGTGCGGGCCGGTGCGGGGTGTTGTGGTGCGGCGTGGTGCGTCGTGTCGCGTCATGTCACGGGGGGGGCATGTCGCAGGGCGGCGTGTTGCGGGGCGGCGTGTTGCGGGGCGGCGTGTTGCGGGGCGGCGCGGGGAGTGGTGCAGGTAGTCGCGCGGTGGGGCGAGGGCCGTTCGACGCCGCTTGCGGCTTTAATTTTATATTGTATTTCTTTGCAATTTAGTTTTTCAGTTTATAATCAAAAGATAAAAACAGGGTCACACAGAGAGCGGCAAACCACAGATTTCTCAGCCCCAAATAATGAGTTTTAGACTTTCGGTTACTGAGTGAGAAGAGCTTAAATTTCAATGTGAGTAAATGGAGTCAAGTAGTTGCAACACTTCACCCATGAGCACTTCCCTATTAAAAGTAAAAGAAGATATCTTGTTAACAGAGCATATTTCATACAACACTAGAACTCAATGCGCTTCACAATTAGGCTTCAAAGAGCTAGCAGGGTTAGCATTGTCTATTTCTTCATGCAGACTATGGGCTGACCTCAACAAAAGGCCACTCCGGGATATTTTTCTTGTATTACGAGGTCGGGAAACCAAACCGTACTTGGTGTGGTGCAAGTTTGTTGATCTATTCCTCTTCAATGGCTTTGCAAAGTTGCTGGATAATGGCAGGAGCTGGAACCGGCTGTTGTGTGCGGCAATCCAGAGCCATTCAACCTTGAGAAAAATCAACACAAACAGGACAAGATTGCATCATACCTGACCAAACATCTCATTTTCTTTTCTCTCTTCATCACGAGTGAGTTTTTCCCCTTTCCCTCGTCTCTCCCCCTCGCCTCCCGCCCCCCCCCGCTCCCGTGCTCTGATCTATGTCCACATAAATCACCGGGAATGGGGCTGAGATGATGAGGCTGTAGGAGCAGGAGAGGCGGCTGGGGAGGGACGTTCCAGACAGCTGTACAGATGATATTTGCTTCTCCCCGGGCTCGTCTCCGCGCAGGGGGCCCACTCTCCTGGGTCCGGGAGGAGATATGGTTCTGCCGGGAAGGAAAAACTCAGCCGGAATTACCCACGGTTACAAATGGGCAGGCGGGCGAGGGGCATTGCTTATCCACACAGCCCCATTACTGCAGCATGAGAGCCCAGCCACAAGGGAGAGGGCCAGATAAATACGTTTGCATATTCTAGCACAATTAAAAGTTCATTTGTCTAAATCGCTGGACTTTAGCCTCGTTTAAGCCTTGTTGGCTCGCTAGTTGTTTCTTAAAGAGGGAGAATTAAAGATTGACCGCGAAAAGCTACCGGCAGACAGCGTTAAATATAGTTCGGGGTTTGAGTGGTTTTTCCCAAATTAAAAAGTAGCAGCTACAACATATTTATTATGTTGGAGGATGCACAGCTGGTTTTGTTGATTTAGTGTAATGCCTTGGGAAGTGTTGTGAAGACATACAAATATGCAACGCTTCTATTCCCCAAAAAATCTAAAAAACAACGGTGACAATACAACCAAATTGATTCTGTGACAGTGTGAATTCCTATACAAATAATTTCTACTACAGGGGTAATTGAGCTTGCTAATCAAATGGAATGAAATGATGAGGACTTTTCTGATTTGTCACACCAGAGTAATCCAATTAAATTAAATTAAATGTTGTATAGTCCTAAATCAAAACAGCAGTTGTCTCGGAGGTGTTTTTAAAGTGGTTGATTCGCCAACAACAGATTAGTGAATCAAAGAGTTCAAACACAGAAAATGTAACACATAGGAGCCATCGGTCCATAGGGAGTGGGACCACTACTGTCCATAAATGTCAAAAAATATCCTTAGAACCTCCTGCATTGGCAAGGAACGACTCAAAAACCCTGTGGTAAATACGTGAGAAACCTCAGGTAAGCCCTGATTGAGAGAGAGATCCTAAACCCAGATCATAAAAGATCCACGGCTTGATCAGTGGGTTGGTAGGTTTACATGTCTGTGCCCATGTCTGGTGGGTTTCCTGTGGGCAGTAGGGTATATCCTCCAGTGAGAGTGTTGTCATCACAATCTACAGACGAGCCCCTGCTTCTGAGGTTGTCTGGGGGGACATACTGTATATATTTTGATTTGCACTAAAAGTTCTTGATATCAGCATGGATGACTCCTGAGATCAGACCCTCCTCGTCGATGCAGGAGGGTCTAATGCCAGTGATGATCCGGGGGGACAGTAAAGTACATTTATGGACAGTGGTCATCCCGCTCCCTTAGGACCAATGGCTCCTATGGCTTTGTTATGGATGCATTTCCTGATTTCAAACTGTTTGATTCTCTGATGTGTTGTTGGCGATAAAAATGCATTTAAAGGAGCAGTGTGTAAAAATCTCTCCAAAAGTGGTATTGTAACCTCTCCACTCTCCCTGACTCAGGTTGCCAGATATGCAGACGAATCCAGCTGGGACCATAATGACTGAATAGACAAGAGTTTTGTCAACAACAAATCTACTGTATAACCAACACCTTTTTCACAAAGGCCCCGATAGAAATTCGTGTTTATTAATGATTTGAGAATCATAACAAGACCTTTTTTATTTCTGCGGCCACATGTTACTTTACCAGTGGGAAATAGCTCGGCGTGGTGAGTTCTGGCAACCTGGATCACAGACTTTCTGATTGGTGAAACGGTGGAGGGCGGGACATTGAAATGAAAAAGATTTAGGGGCTGTAAAACTAATCAGCTGAACTACTGTTATCAGTTAAAAAAGTATTCGAAAAGAATATTTTATTCATTAATGCATCTGACATATTAGGGCCATTTAATGATCACTTGACATGAAAATCTTACATCTCCAGATGAGGAAATACAGTGTAATCTAACATTTCAAAAATTGTCACACTTTTTGTCCGTACGCGCCGTCCTCAAAACATGCAGACGCACACCTGTGTTACATATTCATCTAAAATTCAGACCAAAGCACTTTTTATTTCCATGCATCAAGTTTGAGCGAGGCCAGAGCCCACAGAGAGCAGCAGCAGGGACCCCCTTCACCACATCCACTCCAGCCACAACATATTAATCTGAGCCGGTGTTATGTAGGCCAGTCCATACAGCCAGAATGAGCCATTTACATAAACATATAGGTCTCTGCGTGTTAAGGAGGAAGCTACAATGTCCTATTTTAACGCTAATATAATGAATCCACCAGAAATGGTGCGCTGAACTATATTTTGAACCCTTTTTAGACTTGAAATGTCCAGGGAAAGTCATAGATGCACTGTATAGTATGTAACCCTGTTCCAACATCGATCAAAAAGAGACCTCGAGTTGTTTTTAATTCCATCCACAATATCTTAACACTGGGACTCTCCGAATTCTGAAACTCCTAAAACTCCCAGAGCTTTGATTTGGCCGCTCCCTTTGAAACCAAAAGATTTCTGAGAAATTCCCCCCATAAATTAAATATTTCCACCAGATTTACAAACGAGTAAGACATTTATTCAGTTTTTTACCTTTACTCACTTTTCCTATCGGTGAATATAGCTGAAATATAGTAAAAACAGTTAGTTGAGGGGCTAAATGCTAAAGGCTAAATGCAAAAGGCTGAATACTAACAGCTAAGCTGCGTGTGTTGCTATGGTAACTAGTACTGACTGTATAATAAACTACATATACAGACACAACAATTCACAAAATTATGAAGACCCCAAAGGTAAATACGCGGCGTAATAACACTTCCATAACAACAAAGCCGTCAAATTGACTGCTGTGGAGTTCTGGTGTTGATGAATTTGTGCCAGAACATTCTATGTACCACATTGTATACTCGATCTCTGAGAAGCACAGGGACTGCCTCCTGCTGGGACTCTGAGGAGCACAGGGACCGGCCTCCTGCTGGTGCCCAAAGTCAGAACGAAACAGGGGAGGCTGCATTTCAGAAAAATCTGGAACAGTCTTCCTGAAGATGTGAGACAGGCTTCTTCTCAGTTTCTTTCTTGATCTTATTCTGTTCAGCACTTGCCTTGTGCATGAATTGTGCTATACAGACAAACTTGCCTCGCCTTTCCGAAAGCTGGAGTTGTCTCTGTGTGTCTGTCTGCAGGATCATGCAAAAGCTACTGGACAGACGCTGAAAGCTGTTGGCAGGGTATGTGCTCTCCGAGTGCGTTTTCGTTAAGTAAGTAATCTTTATTTATGTAGCGCCTTTGACAGACCAGAGTCACAAAGCGCTTTACAATTGTCCTCTCAATACAGAAGGCGCATGCCAGACCTATTGTACATGTTTTTAGTGGTAAGGCAAACCGGAGCACCCAGAGGAAACCTATGGAGACACGGGGAGAACATGCAAACTCCACACAGAAAGGCCTGAACGTGGGATTGAACCCAGGACCTTCTTGCTAACCACATAACCATAAATCATTGAATAATCACTCTTGACTAAAACATTCGGCATTAAACAAAAAAAACAGAGCACCACACATCAAATAGCCCCTCCCACTTCCACTAGCCCCTCCCACATCTGTTAACCCTTCCCACACCCATGTTGATGATGTAACACTGTCCATAACACAACCAGCCACGTGCTCTGTCTAAAAAACACTGCATCTCTGGTAATTTCCTCCCATTAGCGGTGTTTTGGCAATTCTTAGACATGACGTTGAATTTGTTAGCTTAAGAGCAGGTGACAAGCTAGCGGCGGCAGCACTGCTAAATCGCAGACAACGAGGGCAGGAAAAGTATACGTAAAAGTAGGTTTTGGCTGGAGTTTGAGACACAGGTTCAGGTAATGGACGGAGAGTGGAGGATCAATAATTGACAGGGTGCAACAGTTAGCGGCGCCCTGACCAAATGGGGTGTAACTATGTAGTTTTTGGGTCTCGGGCGGCAAACATGGAGCCAAATTATGTGTTTAAGAGGGAAATGTGTCCAACAGCGCTGAAAGTTACAAGAGAAAGAGTTCCCATCATGAAAGTGAGGAGGGATATTGTCTGGAATGGATGGGCAAGTTTTCTGGTTTTCTGGGTGAGTTTTAAGTTGGAAAAATCAGGTTGAAATATTACAAATTGTAAATATTGTTTTCAGGGTGGTACTAATGTCGATGGTGGGGACGTCAGGGTGTACTGTATGTGTGTGCAGGAATCACAAGTTTTTCATCAACTATAATTGTACTTTTGAGAAATAAGATGTTCTCATTTGTTTCAACCATTTAACGCCATAAAAACTGAGCCAAGACTACAGCCTTCTCAGATTGTATATTCTGTGTGCTTCTTACAGCTTTTACAACTGCGATGATCTTATCTTATCATTCCATAAAAGTAATGTCAGAAACTTCAAGCATTTTTCTTTTATGAAATTTTGTATACTGGGGGGACACTGCACTATCCTGTACAGTAAGTACATTTCAACACTAATATATTTAAAACAGTCTCTCCATTTGGCATATATTGCATCAGAAGGATTTGCTGGATGGGAAGTGTTAGACCAATAATGAGGGAGGGTGGGTCCAATTTCAACAAATGTCAGTATCTTTTTTGACTGGTATTGAAGCATTTTCAGCATCTACAGCCAGTTATGCTAGTTAAGAAACATAGCTACTACTTATTTTGTATTTTCTGTGTGCTCCTTTCCCCCAAAAGGAAAATATCTATTGTATGTTTTGTGTCTTTTGGGTAGAGACATAGTTGGGTGAATGAGGGTGGTCCTCTCTTGTTCCCTTTTGTGTCTGTAGAAGTGACTCTAAAGATACTGTACATTCATATGAAAACTAGTGAGTGACTAGTTTGTGTAAGCCAAACTAGCAAGGAACTGGTTACATGGATTTTTAAAGTCAATTCTTTTGTGGTTGAAGAGCCTTTCGACACTTCACAGGTCGATTGTCACAAGATAAAACAAGGAAGGACCCATGAGCAGAACGGCAAAATAACATGATAAATAAAAGCCAAAAGGATGATAAAGGGCAAACACATCGGGGCAATTATCAACAGAAGAGACAGAAACTAAAACTCAAACAAAAATAAAACACACATATCCAACATTTAAACCAGGTAAAAAATAAATCAACAAAA